TTAAATCACATAAATTTCACTTTAAGTGTTTGTTTTAACAATATTGTTTAACGTCCAGTAGTTTGAAACTGCTGTTTAAAAAAAGATGATCAAAGTCCTTGTTAAATCAATGATCAATTTGTTTAAATGTACATGTTTTATTGTGTATTATATGATATATTGTCTATTGTGAGATTGTTGTTAATCTGTTTTGTGGCTAGACACCGCTGAACAGGCTCCACTAATTTGAGCTAAATTTAATTAAATTTTACTCAATCCATACTTGTTGAATTTGATCAATATTATTGCTTGTAATCTGTTACCTCAATTTTATTGTGTAGATATAAAGTATTATTTTTTAGAGTTGATGAAGTTTGCATGTTCTCTTTGTGTTTGCGTGGGTTTCCTCCACGTGCTTCAGTTTCCCTCACAGTCCAAAGACATGTGGCTAAGGTGAATTGGGTAAGCTAAATTGTCCATAGTGAATGAGTGTGTATGGAGATTTTGCAGTGATGGGTTGCAGCTGGAATGGCATCTGCTGCGAAATACATATGCTGGATAAGTTGACAGTTCATTCCACCGTGGTGACCCCATATTAATAAAGGGACTAATCCGAAAAGAAAATGAATGAATGAAAAGATACACATTCCCGTTTGTTAAAATTTCCATTAAATGTTTAAGAATTCAACAACCAATCTCCATGTTTGGTGTACTGTAACTTTTAAAGTAAAACGATCATACCACTTTTAGTAAAAGAGAAACCAAATAAAATAGGTCACCATAAGGAGTCCCAGCAAAGCACACCTATGAAATCACTATGTCAAAGTCACGGCGAGCAAGCCCTTTCCTCCGCCAGCCTTTTCATTTACGTCTTGCGAGGGGCCTTGTAACAAATGTGGAGGCAGAATTCTCAGCAAGTGCATTTTGTCATGCTGTTTTCTTTAGTCCAAATCCCATTGGCTCGCCGAATGCTCATGCATCAACTACAATTTCACCTCTTATATATTGCATGCAAGCAACCCCTGCAGATGGGACCTCCGGAGGTAGAGCGCTTACAGTTTGGGCATGAATCAAGCTGGGCCGTTGTGTCACAGCATTAAGATCACCTGCAACGGGTTTATTTAACAGGTCTGGCCACAGCTGAATGCTAAACCTCTTCTAAATTGCTTTAATCCATGTAAATTCAATTATTCAGCATACAGAGACACACCGGTGACCTTTCGCTACAACAGCAGAAAGCAGCGTCGTCGTATTGATTTGTTAATTAAAGAGAAAACTCACTTACCTGTGTACTAAATCATTGATGTGTGTTATTAACATGAGTGCATCTGTTAGGGTGAGAGAGAGAGGGAGAGATCGAGAGAAAAGATGCAGCGTGTTATGATATTGCATTATCTCCAGACATCGATAACGTTTTATAAAGTCTCTGTATAAGCTCTGGTATCGATTGAACGAGGGACACGATTGTGACAGAGGGATGCTGTGCACTGGGTTTTGTTTGTTCCTTGTTGGGAACGTTGAAGATTGCTTTGCTTTTTCGCTCAAACTGCATTTGGCCAGTCCTGACACTTAAACCACGCTGTGTGCATCGAAAAAAAGCTGCGCCTTGACATATTGTAAGTCTTTTCACAGTGGAAATCGATAGTTTTATTGAAAGTTCACTCCTCTTAGGGTTATTTTCTGTTGCCTATTGATCTGCAGGTGAATGAACTCATAACAAACAGCTAACTGCTTTTAGGTTGCACGTCGGCACTGCCAGTTTCCCCAATTATGCGATTGTATGATGAAGTGTTGCTCAGATTGCGTGAACGTCTGTGGTGAACAAATAGATTTTTTCTTTTTACACTTTATTTAATTGGAATAATGTGGCATAATGTGAGATTTAGGTATATATATATTTTTTTTCCATAGTGTAAAAGTATGGTAAAAAAAATACTAATAGAAATTATGTAATAATAATGGGACACACTCAGGGGCAGATTTAGAGATTTTAAGGCCTTAAGCAATTCCAGCCATAGGGCCCAAGTCCTAAAATACAACTTTTCAACTTTTATTCATTCATTCATTCATTTTCTTTTCAGCTTAGTCCCTTTATTAATACGGGGTCGCCACAGCGGAATAACTGCCAACTTTTCCAGCATGTTTTTACGCAGCAGATGCCCTTGCAGCCGCAACCCATCTCTGGGAAACATTCATTCACACACTCATCCACACTCATACACTATACGGACAATTTAGCTCATCCAATTCACCTGTACAGCATGTCTTTGGACTGTGGGGGAAACCGGAACACCTGGAGAATACCCACGCGAACGCAGGGAGAACATGCAAACTCCACACAGAAACGCCAACTGACCCAGCCAAGTAGGGCTGTAACGATACACCAAACCCATGATTCGGTTCGTATCACGGTTTTTGACCCATGATTTGATTCGTATCACGATTTTTCGTTTTTTTACTTTATGATTTGTTTCCATATGGTAACAATGTCCAACAGTTGGTCTTACTTTGAAATTTCTAATTTAGAACTTTCCTTATAACTTATAATTTTGTTGTTATGTTGTGTGTTTTGATTTAATTGATTACAAACTAACTTGATGAACTTTTTTTAGTTGTGAATATGTCATCATAACTTACAGGAGGTGATGCCTTTTTTTTGTGGATCTGACATGAGTTCATCCTTTGACTTTATTGACGTTGTCATTTGCATTCAGCTACTCACATTAAACGCCAGTCTGTCAGACATCACGCAACAGAAAAACATTGCATGCATGTGACTTAACCAAAGTTCATCATTGGCCAAACTAAGGTCTTCTCTTTCCAAATAAATAAATAAATAAATATATAATAATCATATAATCAAAAATGGGAAATAATCATAAATATTATGTTGCCATATGGCAACACCATGCGGTAGAGGGTTAAAAGTACAGCATATTAAGTTTTATTTGAATCATTTGTATTTAGTTGTTTAGTTTTAGAAGTTCTTTAACCTAAAACATAGTTTAGTTCTAAGTAAATTGGTTGTGTATTTTGTCAGTTTATCATAATTTTTTCATTGGCTATCTATATATTTAGCAAATCAATAAAGATTATGGTATATAAAGTTATTAATCCTGGTTCATTATTTTCACTGAAAGCAAAATTAATGTAAAGTACATACTTTAAATCTTGTTATTAGTTTCTATTTAGTGCTGTAATTATATACAATCGCATTATTTAATTTTGAAAACATTTATTTAAGGTGGCATGGTGGTTTAGTAGTTAGCACTGTCACCTCACAGCACAAACTGTGTGGAGTTTGCATGTTCTCCTCGTGTCTGTGTGGGTTTCCTCCAGGTGCTCCGGTTTCCCCCACAGTCAAAAGACATGTTCTGAATTGGTGAATAGGTAAATTGAATGAACTGAATTGACTGTAGTGTATGAGTGTGTGTGTGTGAATGTGAGAGTGTGTGGGTGTTTACCAGCACTGGGTTGCGCTGGAAGGACATCCACTGCATAAAACATTTGATGGATAAGTTGGTGGTTCTTTCTGCAGTGGTGACCCCTGGTGAATAAGGGACTAAGCTGAAGGAAAATGACTGAATGAACATTTATTTATTAAAATGATTTATTTTATTTTTGTCACACACTGTTTGTTTTTTCTTCTTTTTTGTACAACCCAAAAACTGTATATTTTAGGAATGGGTTCCTCACAAGGGGGTCTTTGTCATACAAAAGTTAGAAAACTTGTTATAGTGCAAGAACACTCTGTTGTGGTCGTCCCTTGAGACTGAATCTCTGACTTTGTCTTTACCAGGTGATGTGCCATGCCTTCTTTCAGGGGCTCTGTGGACTATCATTCTAAGACCCCCCTACAAGAAATCACCATATGAGTGTACCATAACAGTACAATGCATTCATCCTCTCCAAAGGCCAAGCTCCAAACATCTTCCTCAACTCTGGAGACTGCTGGAGGAGCTCCCTCAGGCTGGACTCGCCAAAAAAAAAAAAAAAAAAAAAAAAAACCTCAAGAAATGCCACTTCAGACCGCTTGAAGAGTCTTAGCTAGAGTTGTAGATCAACCAGGGACTGATAAAACCTTCAAAAGCGCACAGAAGCTTTGCAGTTTTATACTTCCTGGCCTGCGAGTATGAAATATGTATGCGGTTTCCGAAGGTAGGCAGGTTACCATCAGTGCCTCATGCCTAGTTTTTCTACTTTCTCCCCTCAAGTATGACCAGTAATGGACGGCAAAAAAAGCACTATATGAAGATCTAAGGCCAAACCAGTCTTTGGCTTCCTGAAAAACCCTTTCAGCTTTTTTTTTCTTACATGCTCTAGGCTTTAATCTACCCTCCACTCCATGTTCATGCCAAGCTGCTTCTGTGACGGTGATGCAATTCACTGTCTGACACCAGTATTGTACGTGTTTTGACATCACTTGAACTGATTCTTTGACACATGAACAGACAGTCTTCTTCCTCATGTCTAACACATGCCTTTATGTTCACCCTTTAGCTTTTCCAAATGCCGTTGCATATTAATAAATACTAGTGTCATGTTTATCTCATGTCAGTGCTTCAAAATGTCACTTACCTTTATTTAGATTTGATGTGTGAATTAAAATAAGTAATACTTTAAATCCAGTTTGGGATTAACAATGTACTCACTTAGTGGTTTTATTTCACTTACTATAGGTCTAAAGCTTAAACCAATCATATCAATGCAATTACTCAATTTTTTAATTGCTGAATGATTTTCTATGTTTTGAATATTATTTATTTTATTTTTAATAGATTAAATTAACATTTGGATTTGGTATTGTTCTTAATTAGTTGTAGGGACATTTTTCTAGAACCGTTCTTTCCAGCCAAACAAAAGAGAAGCTTGAGGTGTTGCTTAAATGTTGGTCAATCCTGTGCGGAAAGTAACCGTTTCTTTTCTAATGCAATTCCTGATGTGCATGCTTTAGTCATGTGCTATAAGGCAACAGCCTTCAGCTCTTCACACTTTTTTTTATATTCATACTTTTTTTTTTCACAGTTGTTCTTTTCCTGTTCCTGTAGCAAATCTGTGGACTTGAGTTGTCAGCAGTTATTTGGTGAAATTGAAGTTTTATGAAACAATAAGGTAAGCTATTTATTTATATTACTATTATATATATATATCCAAAAAATATACCACCACTTTGATCACTTAACTGATGATTTGGTAAAAATTGTTTTAATGGTCCAATTTTTGGCAGGTTCGAGTTACAAAATATTGTCTCAATATGTAGATTTGACTTTGAATTGTGCTGTGGATGAAAAAAACCTGTCAGACTACATATTTTTTTTAACAACAAATCATTGTTTGCCATCTTTAAAGCACGGTAACATTACTGAGATATCTGAATTAACAATTTTTAAAGATCCTTTATCCAAATAGTTGTTGAATAGATGATTTCACCCCAAAATTATTTTACTAGCCCTTCACTTGTTTTATAGGTTTTTGAGTTTTTCCTCTCTTCAACATAAATGAAGATATTTTAAATGACCTCCTTAATATACAGTTTGTTTTTATTACTACATAATAACATAATAATACATAATAATTCTAACTTTAACTGTATACTTAGAATTTACAAGACTTGCTAACTTAACATGTCTTGTAATAGATATTGGTGTTATAGCTATTTTTAGGTATTTTTAGATTTATGGGCAGTGATAAGGTTAACTATATTTAGGCAGAAATGTTGTTACAGGCATAGTTCAAACTAGTGAAGTCTACTGTATTCAATATCTACTGTAAACACTCTCAAGTGGTTTCAAGTTTTTATTAGCTTCATCTGTTGAACACCAAACTAAATATTTTGGAGAATTATGGAAACCAGTTGCCATTGATATTTATAGCAGGACTAACTGCTAAAGAGGTCATTACTGTAGCTACTGGATTTCAACATTCTTTAGAGTGTCTTCTTTTGTGTTTAAGAAAAGAAAATAAGTCAAAAAGCTACTGAACAAGTGAAGGGTGAGTAAGTTTACTTTTGGGTAAACTTTAGTCTATTTACCAACTTTTTGGGTGAAGGATCATCAAAACTAAAAGGCGAATTCAGCTTTTTCAGAGTAAAACATGTTTTTAAAATGGGCAAACAATGATTTGTTGTTAAAATGATGTAGTCTAACTTTTTTTTCAAATTTTTGTCCATAACACAATTAGAAATGAAATCCACATAATCTAACACAAGTTATGTTGCAACATACAATATTTTGTAGCTCGAACCTGCCAAAAAAGTGGACTTTGAAAATAATTTTTTACCAAATCATCTGTTAAATAATCATAGTTGTGGCAGTTTGTGGACACAGCTCTACTGTTAAGCTAAGTGTGATTTTGCCAATCAGGATGCAATCCTGGATTAACATCTATGATAATCCTGGAAATCCATTCATTTTTGAAAATATAATCCATGCCTCTAATCCCTAACCCAGAACCTAACCCTAACTGTAAATGATTCACAAAATCGGAGGGAATTAATAGTTGGATAACATTGATGTTGGAGAATTTTTTATCTGCCCTGACATTCGTTCATTTTCATATGCTTATAAACAAGTGGCTAAAGTCTAACATCACTGTAAACAAAACAAACTGGGCTACAATAATACAACCTGTTAAAGTTTTTAAATTTGTGTTTGTCTTGTCAATACAAACAACAATGACAGAGTCTTTCATGACTTAATCTGCTGAAACGCATGTTCACGTTTGCCGACCCCAGGGAGTTTCATCTGATTGAATATTGATGTCGATTAAGGCAGGGGTTAACAAACTTTTCAGCTAACTACCCCTAAAATAACAATGAAAGTGACTCGCAACCCCCAAATTCCTCTTAGGTGATTATAAATATGCAAACAGTGCTCATACAACAATAGGCCTATATAAACATGAGCATACTGACAACCCAAAAAGTCTAACAACCATATAATTTTTCATTAATTCATCTTTTTGGCTTAGTCCCTTTATTAATTCGAGGTTGCCAGCACATGTTTTATGCAGCGGATGCCCTTCCCATCTCTGGGAAACATCCATACTCATTCACACTCATACACTACAGATAATTTAGCCTACCCAATGGACCCTTCGCTAAGCCCTGCCCTCCATAGATACTGTTGCTATGCCTGTCAAGCTTTCATGCCTGGCACGTCTCTTACAATGTGTATGCGCCAGTGTCAGACATTCCCAGGATAATTAGTCATTTTTGGCGAACAAGTGAAATATCCGAGAAAGCCAAACAAAAAAGGACTGCAGTATGCATTACAGGGGTATATTCACAACATAATAGGCAACCAATTAGAGAATAATTCAATCAAAAATGACGCTAGGTTAGCCTAGCCACTTTATACGCTGACCATTCAACATTCAACACAAGTTTCACCTGGTGCTGTAGCTGACACTATTACTGTGCTGTTAATTTGACGTAAACATGCTGATCCTATGAAAAAATTAAATAAAAAGAAAGGCTAATGGCTTTTCATTTGCATGTTGTTGGTTTTTACTATTAAAAGCTACTATTTTTTATCTTCTGTGGGTTATGGTTAAAATATTTTAATTCTAATAGTTTAACAAAATGTATTTGACTTTTTTAAATTACGAAGTGACCCCCTGTTAATGTCCTGAACCCCCCAGGGGGTCCTGACCCCCATTTGGGAACCACTGGATTAGAGCACCATAAAACCTCCCTGTCTCAGCAGGGTGTTTCTACACCTCTAATTTTAAAATAGCAAGGGAAGTGTGAGTCCAGCTTTGTTTAAGTGGGAGTGATGGGTGGCCAAAGTGGGAAGGGGTGCATGAAAAGGGGAGTTACAGAATGTGCACTTGCTGATTTTCACAGAGGCAACACAAACACAGGCACAAAGCAGACAGACAGGGACTACGTTTACATGGACATCAGTAATCAAATTATTTGCCTTAATTTGATTAAGACAATAATATGAATAAAGCATTTACATGAGTTTCTTTTTGAATGTTCTTTTCATGATCCCAGTACATGTTATAGCACATAATTGATTAACATCATTGTGTCATCACGCTATCCACATTTCCTCAGGAGTTGCATGTAATTTCTGGTGTTTCATTTTTAATTTGTCGACTTTTTACTTTTTACTTTTAACATTTCATGCATGCATTCCTATGACAAACGAGATATTGGAGTATGAACGGGTGGAAGAGTGTTGTTTTACACGTAATGGAATTTTATACTGCATGCCGTATAAGAGAGAGAAAAAAAACTGTGTTTCTCAATAACTTAGATGCACTCGGTAGGTGCAGAGAATAGTGTCAGACAGCCGTGTGTGTATAGACTATCCTGTCATAAAATGCGGCAGAAATCCTACACCAGGAGCCTCATGTACGGACTTGCGTGGAAATCATACTAAAACATTGCGTACGCACAAAGCTGTAAATGTGCGTAAGCAGAAAAAAATTCAGATGTATGAAAAACTGCATACGCCGAATTCCACGCATATTCTTTTGTACATCCGAATGAATGTGAAACTGAGCGCAACATGCACGAGCACAAAACCCCTCCCTGCCTCCTCCCCCGTATGAATATGCAAATGACTCTACCTTGGCAAAACCCAACGAAAAAGCAATGGCAAAAGCAAGCAAAAAGAGAAACTTTGAACAGAATGTGAATTAGAGGTGCTCCTTTTGGAGGTAGACCGGAGAAAAGCGGTGTTATTTGCAAGTTTTTTCTCTGGAATTAACAACAAAAGAAAAACATAGAGTGGGAGAGTTTAGCTGATGCGGTTAACACAGTTGGGTCTGAACATCGCACTTAGTGAATTAAAAAAGAAATAGTGTGGTTTATAGGTGTAAAATGTTACGCCACCCTTAAAGAGCCCATATTATGGGTTTTTGAAAATTCCCCTCCATGTAGTGTGTAACACAGCTCTAAGTGAAGTGAAGTATCCAGCTAAGGCTTAAATCTGTAAGAATACAGTGTTTAAAACTGTTGATTCATCTATAAAAGAGTCGATTCATAGTGCTTCAAACGAGTCGCCTTGATACCGACTCATTAGGTGTTTCGCCATGACGTACGAACGAAACAAAGTTTTTCACGTGCACGCGCAAACCCGGGAGATTTCAAACCTGAGGCCCCGCCCTCTGACGCAGTAACCCAGACACACACACACACACACCCACAAACACACGCACACAAACATGCCGGTCGATTGAAGTCACATTGCAGATGGATATATTGAGTCTCTACCCAAAGATGAAACCTCAGCATTATAGCCAAGCAGTTGGAAACTACTGGAAACTTCTGGAAGCTACATGCTACAAAGAATACTTCATCTGAGTTTGTTAAAGGAAGGATCAGTAAAGAGTAACTGATGGACGTCAGGATGGGTTTCTTCCATTTCTCAAGTGTAAGTACGTGCGGTTAAAGTTGTTGCCTCGTTGACTCTAGCTTGCAAATGTATTTAGTTGTGATTTGTTACTTGTAACCGAGTGTACTGTATCAGGTTAACTGGCTATATTCTCTTATCGCGTGCAAAGTCACGTTAAAAACGCGACGCGTGCTGCTTTGTTTATGGAGCTCCGTGGTAACGTTAGAGGTGTGCATACCCGCGGCTGTCCCCGCGCCAGATTTCTGCGGCGCGGGAATAAATTTCCGAATAAATCGCCGGAGCGGTCGGTAACGGGTTTGATTTGGGACGGGAGCGGGCTGCCTGAGAAAGAGAAAGATGTGTCTGCTTGGTGCTTGTGTGTTAGTGCGCACGCGCGCGTATGAGAGAGAGAGAGAGAGAGAGAGAGAGAGAGAGAGAGAGAGAGCGAGCGAGAGCTTTATGCTTGGTGCTGTGTGTGTGTTTATACAGATTTTCGGTTTTGTTCTCCCCCGCTCTTTAGCAGGATCGGGCGCGGCGGGCAGAATACGGGGCGGGTTCTAAGGCTAAAACCTGGCGGGTGCGGGCGGAAGCGGGAGCGTTCTCGTCCGGAGGTGTTTGTGTGTGTGTGGCAGCTAAAATCCACGCCTACACTATCTAGCGTGTATGAACTGTGATTACTTTTTAAATTGCTGATTAGCTATTGGCCATTTCACTCTCTGACTGAAGGCAGTCGACCAATCGCGACAGACTGTCATCGGTCCAATCAGCGCAGATTAGCTTCGCGCTAAGGAGGGGTTTGGGAACAAATGAATCACTGAACGATTCATACAGGAGTCGCTGGGATAATTAGGTAAAAATAAATGCAGATTATAAGACCATGAAGGTGTTTTTTGACCTTGCATGCATATTAGACTGTTGTTGGAGACCCTTACAACCAAGATATGACCCTATTTCATGTATAATATGGGCTCTTTAACAGTCTCTGTGGCGCAACTCGTAAACGCATGCTAACATGTTTTGACACGTTCGAGCATGAACTCGGATCGAATCCAGCGTCTGATGAACTCTTTCTTCTTTTTTCCCCCGCTACATATCAGATTTTGCCAACTATTTATCATGAGAAAGACAAGTAGGAATCATTAATAAGTCTGTGCATCATATTTTGTTTGCACATTTATTGAATGGAAATGTTTCTGATTCACACATGCAAATTCATCTTCAGATAGTGTCTTTATAGCAATGTGTGTGCAGTAGATAGCTTAGATTACATTGGGAAAACAGGCGACCGCTGCAAATTGTGCTTTCATGTTTAGCTGGTTAACTGTATGGTATGGAAACCTTATATACCTGCTGAACCCGTCTCATACAGCTGCCATTGCAAGGCTCAGACACTTTGTAGAGAGCAATTTAACACAACTGAATCTATTAGTCGCCAATGGAAATAAAACAGACAAGCACAATAAATGTGCGTATGCCAGCCAAGAAGCTGGCGTGGAGCTGTGCACATTCCCATGTTCAGCGATTCTGATCGTGAAACCTGGCGTACGCAAAGTTTTTGTGCGTACTCAGCGTTGATACATGAGGCCCCAGGGGTGTCCAAACTCGGTCCTGGAGGGCCGGTGTTCTGCAGATTTTAACTCCAACTTGCCTCAACACACCTGCAAGGATGTTTTTACTGTAAACTTAGTGACTAAATAATTTTGACTAAGGTCTTAAAAAACTGAAAAAGTACTTCTGACAATACTAACTAACTTTTCCATCTAAATAAGCATAATCAAAGAACATTGATCACACACTCCAAATCTGTAGAGACATGACAATCAACACGTACTGGAAAAAAATCTTTGTTGCGACACATTTATGAACACAACACTGACGACCCATGTCTCTGAACAATTCTTCTTCTTCCGCTTGTTTTAATTACGATTAGCAACACAACTTGGCGTCTTCGAAGCTACATCATGGATATTATTGAAGTTGCACCTCATTCACAATAGAGCACAGCACACTGATTGGTTCGAACCAAGTCTTTCTCTTGAATTGAAGATGAAAACTCAACCACGTCATGCAGTATCGACCATTACAGACATCCAGTCTCTACTCTGGAATTTAACACAAGGATCTTATCGCTGTGATGTAGCTTTTTAATTTCCTTTTAAACGGGAAGAAAAAAAAATTGCTCTAAACCAGGGGTGGCCAATCCTGTTCCTGGAGAGCTACCTTCCTGCAGATTTCAGTTGCAACTCATAATCAACACACCTGCCTGTAATTATCACGTGGTGTTCAGGTCCTAATTAATTGGTTCAGGTGTGTTTGATATAGGTAGCAACTGAAATTTGCAGGAAGGTGGCTCTCCAGGAACAGGATTGGCCACCCCTGCTCTAAACAATGCAAAAACAACCAATCTTTTTTTTTTTTTTGTGAAAAAAAAAGTGTCCTAATAGTGTTTTTAGCAACATATATATGACTGTCAAAATCTCAAAAAATGGGTTTTGGTGTTTCGTGACCCTTTAAAGAATGTGTTCGAGTTAGGGAAATCACATTAACACGTGAATCGCTTGTTCTGCATGTTTATTTTCGGATGCATACATTTAGTTTACATCGTAAATAACAAGGTAATTGTTTTGCTAATGCCAATTATGTTTGAAAATGACCTAAAAATACCTTTTTTTACAGGCAAAGATGGAGAGTCACCTCAATATTAGCATTCTCACCAGTGTCCCAGCTACTGTAGGAAATGCTTGCGGAATCGACTTCAGTCAGGATGGGATCTTCCTTCCCGTTCTGTATGGAATCTTCTTCGTCATCGGCACCCCTTTAAATCTGCTGGCGCTCTTCGGACTTTACAAGCTAATCCAATCAGAGAACGTTCTACCTGTGTACGTTATTAACCTGCTGATCTCAGACCTAATTCAACTCCTGACTTTGCCTTTATGGATGGATTATTACGCCAATGGACACAACTGGCGATTTGGGCCCCGTAGTTGTCAGTTCATGGGCTTGTTTTTCTACATCAGCATTTACGCGGGCATCTTCTTCATGTGTATCATCGCTCTAGAGCGGCACCTAGCCATCGCCAGACCTCTCAGCTTCAAGCATCTCCGCAACTTGAGGTTTGCTCGTTGGATCGCTATCTCCATTTGGGTTCTAATTGCGGTGCCACCTGCCATTGCGTTCGACAAGCTCTTCCCCAAGCAGGAAAATTACACGCTTTGTATTGAAAAGTATCCCTCAGAGGGCAGTTTTATCACCTACCGGCTGATTACTCTGCTTGTGTCCTTCATCATACCCCTGAGCTTCATTGTCGGTCTCCACAGAAAGACGGTCCGCTCGCTGATGGCAATCAACTCGCTTTTATCCGAGGAGAAGAGGAGCATCAGGGGTCTGCTCACTCTTCTGGTGGCCGTATTTGTCACGGTTCTGGGGCCCTATCATTTCATCGGCTGTGTGAAGTATGTCGGACTGCTGATACACAGCAGAAAGTGCGTTTGGGAGAAAGCGGTGTTTGTGCCCTATCAGTTAGGACGAGGCCTTCTGAGCCTTAACAGCTTGCTGGATCCTGTGTTTTACATCTTCCTCCGCAGAGACTTCCGTGCTGCCGCTGGGAACTACTTGCCCTGCCTAAGGAAAGTGAGAAGTAGATCATATCGGACAGAGAAGCCGACAAGTTCTACTCAAGACTGTGATTAAACATTTCCCCTGGATATGTGTTTGAAATCTGGACAAAGATCTATGTGTCTAGTTTTAAAAACGAATGTTTAATTAGATCTATGATGGCTCCATGGTCTAAGATTAATATTATACCATCATTATATTTAACCAGCAGATATCAGAAGACATTTTTTTTCCAAATCATGACGTATATCCAATTGAAACAGTCCTGAAATGAGAAAGAAACGTAAGCTTGATTTTGTCCTTTGGGAACTAAATGGATTGTTGGAAGATGGGTGTTGCTAACAAAATGGAGGAAGATTAAGGAATGGAGAAAATCAAGGTAGCAACGAGACACACCCTGATAGCTCCACCCTAAAGGCATTCCTTGTGACCAGAAGGGAACTGGGTTTGAGAATGACACAGTTGGTATAGATTGAAGAACATGTCTGGAGAAAGCACCATATGGTTGGCAAGCTCTATGAGAGAATTACAGAAATGGTTGTGGAGGAAGCCCCCTATATACACTATGGAGATGGTTTAGCTTTGTTTTATGCAAATGACTAACCTTGAGCATGTGGCACTCATTTAGAATGCTGGATTTAGAATTGACTAAACGAAATTGGCTGTAATGTTAGTGTGAATGAGTGTATAGGTGTATCCCAGTACGGGGTGGAGGCAGGAAGGGCATCTGCTTAAAACATATGCTGGAATTGGCGGTTCATTCCACTGTGGCGACCCCTGATAAGGGACTAAGCTAAAGGAAAATGACTGAATATTATTTTATCTTGTTTTATTTTTTCACAGCTCACGAAAATCAATTAGCCCTGTTTCAACGTAATTTTCTTTAATGGTCTTCAAAGTTAAAGGCTAACTTTCTCTAGGTATTAGGGACTAGACTTTAAAAAATAATGATACAAATGCTATCACTGGCAAGTAGACTTTTGTACCTATAGAAGCAAGAAAAAAGTCCATTTGGTACTTTAAATGTACTTTCATTTTAGCACTTAAAGTGCATATATTAGTACCTAAAAGTAAAAAAAATTAAGTTTGAATAGATATTGAAACCCCAGGTACAGTGTTTGTACTTTTATTTCTGAGAGTGAACCTTAAAAGGATAGTTCAACCTTAAAATTTCCTCACCATCAAGTGGTTCCAAACCTTTCATGAGTTTCTTTCTTCTGTTGAACACAAACGAAGATATTTTATATAAAGCTGGAAACCTGTAACCATTGATTTCCATAGTAAGAAAAAAAATGCTATGAAAATCAATGCTTAGAGGTTTTTGGCTTTCCTTAAAATATTTATTTTGTGTTCAAAAGAAGAAAGAAAGTCAAACAGGTTTGGAACAGTTGTAAGGTGAGTAAATTGTGGCAGAATCTTCAGTTTTATCTCTTTAACATAGTTTAAAATATACATATATATATATATATATATATATATATATATATATATATATATATATATATATATATATATATATAAAAACATGAACATGGCCACATCCAAGTGAGTCACGTTTACAAGAAGCTGAGATGTGACTAGTAAAATAAGTTCCCTCTTGACTTCATGATTAGTATGTGAAAAGCTTGATTCCCATGTTAAATTCCATCCTGCAGATTTTAGGCGACATCTTTTTAGGAAACATCAAATTGGCAGATTTCAGATCTCCAACTGTAGTGTGTCTTACTGTGAGATTTTTTGTGCCAAATGAATAATTACACCCACAGCCATCAACTGCAAACGTGAGACAGACAGAAACGTCAATTGCCAAGGGTCGCAGCTTGCTTTGAAATCATTACACTTTGCAATTATAACATGTTATATAGATTTTTTTTTAAGTATTAGCCAGCATTATCTACATAATTACTTCTGTTAAATTAAGATGTGTATTTTTAGGTCATTGAAACTCTTTCTCTTGTAATGCTATGAATTGTACCAGAGGAAAAACCTGCTATATGAAGGATTTTTGGCCATACATTCACATAAATGCAACAACGCCGGAGGAAACCATTGACCTGATTTAGAAATGTCAGTATTCAGCACTTTTTGTAGAGTGAACTTTAGAAACTTTGTTATATTGCTGTATGTGATTGTTTATTTAGTAGTGTATTATATAGTGTATTATATTTAAAAAATCTGTCTAATCAATGATTGCATTGCAATTTTTATTCATTTTTTTCTAATAAATGTTTAATAGTAACACTGTTAAAAAAAGAAAAGCACACTTTTGTGAGGTGCACTGGCACTAGATGAAAGACTATTTGTGTGGCTGTTTTTGTTTCTATGGAAACATATTGGCAAGATTATTACTAAATAATAATGGCAAAAGCATATTTAATTCCCAGAAGAAAGTCTGATTACAGCTTTTTTTTTTTAATACTAATATTATAGTTACCTTCAAAGAATAAACTTTGTACAATGCAAACAGTGATGTAAAATACACTCACCGGCCACTTTATTAGGTACACCTGTCCAAATGCTCATTAACGTCAATTTCTAATTAGCCAATCACATGGCAGCAACTCAATGCATTTAAGCATGTAGAAATGGTCAAGACGATCTGCTGCAGTTCAAACCAAGCATGAGAATGGGGAAGAAAGGGGATTTAAGTCACTTTGAACTTTGCATGGTTGTTGGTGCCAGACAGGCTGGTCTGAACAGCCTACCTATAGTTGCTGACCATGTCCATCCCATTATAATCACAGTGCACCCATCTTCTGATGGCTTCCAGCAGGATAATGCACCATTTCATAAAGCGTAAATCATCTCAGACTGGTTTCTTGAAAATGACAATGAGTTCACTATACTCAAATGACCTCCAATCAACAGATCTCAATCCAATAGAGCACCTTTGGGATGTGGTGGAACGAGATTCAAATCATGGATGAGCAAATCATGGATGTGCAGCCGACAAACCTGCAGCAACAGCGTGATCATGTCACTATGGACCAAAATCTCTGAGGAATATTTCTGTACCTTGTTGAAGCTATGCCACGAAGGATTAAGGCAGTTCTGAAAGCAAAAGGGGGTCCAAACCGGAACTAGTCAGGTGTACCTAATAAAGTGGCCAGTGAGTGTATGTTCTTTAAATATTTGAATATAATTTGGCAATAGTTTTGTTGTGAAAACCTGGCAACCCTGTTGTGTGGGACTTTGTTTTTATTCACTGTATGGAAAAGCATGAAGAATAACGAAGCACAAAAAAAATTACAAAATACAATGAATAAAATAAAACTGCTTGTACTATAAATGTACTATGTAAATGTACTATAAACTGTGTTCATTATTAAGGCAATAAAATACATTCAGATAATACCATAATATAAAAGAATACAAAGTAGCAATAACATAATGAGCTATTTTGATAAGCTATGAATAGCTGTAAAGTGAATTAAACCACCAACAATGAAAAAATGATGGATAGTGGATATTTTTCTTTCGTTCTATGTATTTTTATCTTTCATATACCCTTATATGATATATTTACTGTGAATATTTCAAGAGATAATGTTGTTGCTTTTTCAACAGTAATCTCACTAACATTATGGTATCTCATTCATTTCATCTGCAATACTTTTATCCAAGTTCCTTAGCAAAGCAGGAACATTTGAGACATTCTGAAAGTGTTATATTTCGGATGCTATATACCCTTCTCGAAAATCTGAACACCTTTCAAAAGCACTGTAATTCAAAGCGAACATGTTGTGTTCACGCCAGCGGTGTTGTTAATGTGCTCCTTCTTTGACAACATCTTCAAAAGTTGTCAGACTTTTTCTTCTACTGAAGTCTACTTTTGATCATATTTTAAGGAAGAGTGTAGGCCGAGCAGCTATAACATATACAACTACCCACATGCTACTCTTTCAGTTGCAATATTCCATACATAACATCATGCACTTTATTTGACAACAGACCAGATTTAAATTTGCAAGGTTGATGAACCAGGAAGGTTCGTAGTGGGTTCTCTATGTATGGTAAAGCAAGAAACTTCGAAAAAATGATGGCACTATTTGCTGATGTAATGTGCAAAGTGATGGTTTATTTATACAAAACAAAAATAACCTAAAACCCAGCAAAGTAACAAAATAATTAAAAACCGAAAGAACAAATAAACAGCAAACAAACAATATATGTATTACAACCACACTATTATACACAGCTAGGTCTCAAGTTGCAAACGGCTCCATTGAATCCACCTCGCTCGTCAGGTTAACTGACCCGCAATTTGTTTGGGACTTCCTTTTAAAGGCGAAGCCCCGCCCCTTTGAGATAAACCAACATACTTATTATACTTATTAAGTATAAACATCAGTACGTGTTCATAAGCCCAGTGTTTAAAATTAGACACCAGACAGTTATAATTGATCAAGTAAACTAAAATATTTTAACATATAACGATAGAAACATGAATACATATAAGTATAAACACACACACCCCCTTATCCAAAAGACAATGGATAAGTCGGCTTTCTGGTGCGCTCCAGAGCGAACTCGACACCAATTAAGTCAGGCCGCAGGCGCTCTGTGAGACGGGCTGGTGAAATCAACCAGGTAGACCGACGAAACAGACACACGGACACCAAACAGCAGGTAAATATTAAATAACAGCCGTAAACACTTAGACGCAGACAAACAAGAAACAAAAAACATTCAGACAACATGTATATGTTAATAGCGTGCGTTATGGGTGGGGATGGCGAATGTGATGGTGGACGTGTGCACCTGCATCGCCTCAGGCTTTTATAGATTACTTGGGTAAGTGGATGTGTTTACCACCAGGGATAAATCACCTCATCACATATTTCAATTAATATTCAATTAATATCCCCCTCAGTTTTATATTTCAATTATTGTCATCTCATACGTTTACCACAGTGCATACTCTTTAAATGAATACATTTTGACATCTGCATCACATACAGTAACCAGTAACATACTGCAACAGATTTCTCACCTATTATATCTGTGATGCAGAGAACACGAATCCAATAAAAACGTAAGTCATGGTAAAATAACTAAAAGCAAATATTTACCTCTGCTTATTATTTATCATTTTTAAAGACTATACAAATGGTTTTATTGTATATAGTGTGCTATTTAAATGGGACAGAGCAATACAAGTTTATTACTTCTCATTGGATATTTATGCAACTAAATGGTGCCATCATTTTCACCTGAAAAAGTCAAATCTAGAAAGAAGTAAACGTTTAAATCATTACACAAAAATGGAATGCCCATGATAATGCACATCTGTAGGGAACAACCTCCTTCATGACAGTTTTTGATGGACACAATTCAGTTCAAACAATGAGGTCAGATTGAAAAGACTGAATTTGGCTTTTCTTTCATACATATTATAAAACCTGAGAACAAGTGTTGTTGGTTCATTAAAGTGTAGAGATTTCAAGCTTTATGTAGATATATTTTTGTCTGTGATAGGGATTGATGATTGGCTCCTTTCACTAAGAGGTGGGGCTTTCTTCCACAGAGGGTTGCAATTTTTTTCAGTGTCATCTTGTGTATTCTATAGTGTTTGATATACAGTTGCCATAATTATTATCATCAACATGCTCATTGTATCATTCACAAGATATTTTGCTTTTGATTTTTTTTTAATGGCATGAAACATTCAATCAGCCTGTGTTAAGTGTATATATATTACTCCTAGTTTTTCCAAAATGTTTTTGTGATTTTTAGTAACACTTTATTTTGATGATCCATGCAGTATTTGTAGACTGTCTGCATAACATCTGTTGTTATTGCTCTTCAACAGTCATTTAAACTAGAAACTTTGCAAGTACTTGTCAACTTATCCCAATCCTAACAGTCTAATCTAATGACAATTACTGTAGTCCCCCAATTAAAACCCACATACAGCCAGCAACAGAGAGACGCTACAGTTTGACAAATATTACTGTTGTTAGACAACAAAATGTACTTTTGAGGCTTTTTTTAGTCGAGAATGTAGCTGTTTAGATTGCAACTATGCAGTTTATTTGTTAGTGCCTATTTTTAAATATTTACAATTTCTGAGAGAGCTGGTCGGCAACGGTTGACATTTTCTATCCACAAGATGGCGACAAAACCGTATAATAAGCCCTTACGCTTAAAAGATATAACAGTTGGATTTCTAACTACAGCAGATCAAATCAATATTAAACTGGTAAGCACTCCTGCCAACACTTCTGTTTTTCATGGGAGTATCCCAAATTTCAGACCCGTCTCCCGCAACCATTCATTCATTAATTTTCTTGTCGACTTAGTCCCTTTATTAATCCGGGGTCGCCACAGCGGAATGAACCGTCAATTTATCCAGCAAGTTTTTATACAGCGGATGCCCTTCCTGCCGCAACCCATCTCTAAAGCTCTAAAGTGATGTTGGTGAATTAGTAACGGCTTCTGCTGTTCTGACATCAGCTGCAGATGTGAATGAATTGTGGAAGAAAGTAGTTTCTAATAAAAAGGGGTTTTTAGACTCTCCTTGTTTGATTTTATTATTTATATCCACGGTTGTGCCGTTGAATTGTTGTATAAATGCAATATCACACTTGTGTGTGTGTGTGTGTGTGTGTGTGTGTGTGTGTGTGTGTATGTATATATATTTGGTAGTCTTGGGTGCAATCTGACACAAATCATAATAATAAAGTTTCCTTATTTTGGTCTCTAATATAGTCAAGAACTTAAAAGGTAGGGATTAAGCCAAAGGAAGGTTCTAAAACTCTTATTTTTATCCATGATCTTTCTCTTTATTAGAATTTACTTCCCGAGTTCTCTCAGGACATGCGTTAGGGGCCTCCCCTACCGTAATTCACCTAGAACGCGGATTGCCATGGCAGAGAAGCGTTCCTCTCATCAGCGGCAAGGAAAACAAAATCAATTTTTGATTTGATGCACATTGCAAAACAATTCAACCCCCCTCCATGTAAGGCAGGTGTGATGTCATTTGTCGAGAGACACTCAAATATATCACTTGCACTGCATATGCAACGTCTATAAGTCATGTAAAACAAGTATTTGCAAACTGAAATAAAAGATCATTTGATTATATGGTTTGGAATTTGATGTTTTATGAGATTATTTAAATTTTTTTGCGATTATTTTATATTTAAAATAAGAATTTTGCAGGATTGCAAAAATTTTTGACTATTTGTTGATTTTACGTCGGATTCAGCAATTGCAAAATCACAAAATCTACGAGGTCTCATATATATATATATATATATATATATATATATATATATACATATATATATATATATATATACATATATATGTATATATACATATATATATATATATATATATATATATATATATATACATATATATATATATATATATATATATATATACATATATATATACATATATTTTGTTGACTTGTGACTTACAATTTCCATAATGTTTCTAACCCTGTTTAATTCAGACAAATTGAAAATTTTAACAAGCAAAACCGGTAATTTCTTGGATTGACTGTCAATTGGAGAGTAAAAAAACTTGGTTGAAAGTTAATGTCACTCAATGGATACTTTACACTTTATGTGCCGCTAAAACATAAAACAACCAACATAAAAATAGGAAGATTTACGTTTAGATTAAGCTGAACGTGCTTTTAGCACCACTCACAGAACATTCACTTCTGTCCCACAAAACGTGCACACGGCTATATTTTTTGGAAAAGTGTAACCACAAACATGTCTTTGCAATGAGCCTGGGTTGCACATTAAATCACAACTCAAATTGTGGTTGTGTTTTATAGCGAGTGTATCAAGCACCACATTATTGATTTTGGTAGGTTTATAGTAGATTGTCTCACAGAGGAATGGCAGCATTTTGATTTTAGATTAGCACTTGTCTGTTCCTTTAACCCGCTCTGTCACTCACCGGGTCACGCAGACCTAATTTGTCAATGGGCTCATTGTGAAAGCTCTCAGTAATGACGGGGTGGGCATGATGGGTCTGCGGCGGTCCGGCATCACAGCTTATTGATCCCCACACCTGAAATGCTCCTCAGATATGTATCACATCAGGTGGGCTCTTATCAGTGACTTGCAGGCCCATGCACGACTTTAATGGAAAAAATTTTACTTGAAACTTTAAAAAGACTAGAGACTTGACTATTTCAGTGTGCGTGCAGCTGCTGGCGGATAACCAAATTAACAAGTCACCTCTGAACACCGTCCAATCATCCCTGTTTTTATTCTCCTGTTTTGTTTTTTCCTTTCTAACCTAACTCTTTTCGCTTTGCATACATTTTTTTTTATAATTGTGATTAATCCAATTGTATTTTGAACATTTGACTGGTCTATTCATTAAAGCATTTTATTTACAAATTAATTGTATTTAATTTAGCTGTTGTTTTTTCACACAAAAGCTAAATTATTAATTGGAACTTATGTCTCTTTTTCATTCAACTTAGTCTCAGAGGTCACCACAGCCGAATGACCCACCAACTATTCGCAGCAGATGTCCATCCAGGCACAACCAAGTACCGAAAAACAACCAGACACACTCATTCAAACACATGGGGAGAACATGCAAACTCCACACAGAAACATCATATGGCTTAGGCATAGGAATAGGAATATTTGGAGCATCCATCATGGTGATTTCACGTGTATAGCATAAACGTCCCAAAAATGTTGCCGTAAAATTCACATTATGTTATAAAAATGTTGTATATGATTGTTCTCTTGTTATTTGAAAGCTAAGGGGACATATTGCTTTATCATTTGGGAAACATTATTGAAAAATGACTTTCTCTGAACATTCTGAAACAGTGGCAGCATGGAAAAAGTTAGATGAATGGGAGTGCTCTACAGCTGAATCATGTCCTGTAGCACCAACGCTGCTATTGAAATGAACTCAATTCAAACTGACTAGAGCTGAATAATGAAATTGCTGCCTTTTGTAGAACTGCTAATAGAAGCTTTCACTTTTAAAATTTTTTTTTTTAATATCCATAGTGTGAAGAAAATTTATAATAATCAATTGAAAGTTCAACTTTAGATTATCAAAATAATCTGAAGATCCTTTTGTGGATATGAAGTTCGTTTGCATGTTAAAGGTTTTTCAAGGAAACTTTAGTACCAATACAGATCTCTTTATTGTAAAGTGTGTTCTTGGGACTACATCATGTGTTCAGTGGTTCAACTATAGTCATGCAAAGCTCAGGGACACATTTGTGCACTAAAAGAACTGTATGATTTGTTTGCCTATATCCATGTCAGGGCAGTGTGCATGTACTTTGAGCACATATTGCTATTAGAATCAGCAGTGCACACGCACGCATATTTCCCATAGTAAAAAAACACTCGCCCGGATCTGATGTGAAAAAATGAGGAGATTTTTTTAATTATTTTATTACAGCGCTAAGTAACTGTACTATGCACCGAGTTTCAGGCAGCCGCTGCAATTGAAATCTACACCAAAGTTGGAATTGAGAAACAGCCAAGCTCTATAGGTGAATTTTGTAAGCTAAATTGTCCATAGTATTTGTGTGTGAATGAGTTTCCCAGTGATGGGTTGCAGCTGGAAGGGCATCAGCTGCGTAAACTATGGGCTGGATAAGTTGTCGGTTCATTCCGCTG